GGAATTTTACAAAGAAGGAATCAAACTAAATTGGGTGTGGTTGTTGCCAAAACATATGGAGTTAATTGAGAGAGATGCAAATTACTGTAAAAGCATATAGTGAATTTGCACAATTTTGAATTCTTGATGTTAATAAGTTTAAAAGAATTTATTAGCAGTATATACTGATTTATTTGGTGGATGTGTTATGCATTAGGAAGGGATTCTTGTGTATTGTTTATGTGACTGTGAACATTTTTTTCAAAGAAATAGTGTATTTGTGTATTAGATGGTAATTGACGATTTGTTATTTATCATTCTAATATCCGAAGTAATAGTGCGTGCTAGGACAAGGTGTTGAATAACGGCTAGGATATTAGCAAAGAGCATTTATTGCAGTGTTTGGTCCAGTTAATTAGTGGGGTAATTATTGTACCGTTGTCGAAGTAGGCAGACGAGATAGGCGGTGTTGTAGGTGCAGAGACGTTGGGAAGCTAGTAGAAATGTTGTGCAAACATTACGGATCAGCTGGGGGACGAACAGTAGATTCAAAATAATAAGATGGAGGCCCGAAGCATAATGTTGGATCGGGATGAGAAGGTGGAACGAGTAGATGATACGGATGAAGGAATTGGTGGAAGTATTTTTTTTTTTGGAAAGTAGGGATAGTGCGAGTGGAAGCCAATTAGATGACACGTCGGGAGATTGTTTTAATGAAAAGGTAGAAATTACATAGACGCCGATGAACCAGGCAGCAGGAAACCGAAATCAGGAGGGCCGGGTAGATACCCATCCAGATCTAATGCAGATGATGATGAAGATATTGGAGGGTCAGAACAGAATGGCCGAAGAACAGAAAAGAATGGGGAAAGAACAGAGTCAAAAGTTAAATGAGGAACTAAATAGGAAATTAGAAGAGCAGAGTCAAAAATTAACTGAGGAATTGAATAGAAAAGCAGATGAACGGAACAGCAAATTACAAGACGAAATAAGAGGGCAAATAGAAATTATTAACAAACAAATCGAAACTACCAAGAGCTTGAGACGGTTTTTGTTTAACGAAGCCTTTTACACCAACGAAGCTCCGGCAACGCTTAAACAATTAGTCCGACACGTCCCCTTCTTTGTCCTGTAGGACAAAGACAAGCACTCCCCTCTGCTATTCTGAGGGAGTTGTGTAACACAAAAGCCAATTTGATTATTGACTAATGTCCGACGCGAAACCACACCAGCCACTTACACATAGCAGTAAAATGCGAAATGCATGCGAACTGGAAAAACTACAAAATCACACAAACCTTCGGTTAAGCTGAGAGAGAGAAAGAAAAAGAACGATTTATGAGCTGACGCGGCAGTGCCCTCTAAACAGAGCCAGTGGGGTGGTAGATCCAGAGAGTATAGATCTGGGTAGATCTGGGAAGGCGGGAGCGAGAAAGGACAGCAGATTGACACTTGACGGAGGTGCATGTGATGTGTCATTCTCACAAGTGTCTATTATTTGGTGTACGCCTTTAAGTTGTAAATAAATCAACATTTCGAATTAATACGCGTCTCTGAATAAACCCGATCCCTCACCCCCACCACACACAGACATATTATAGTAAAAAATACGTTTCTTTTAAATTTGCTGTAATTTTTCAATAACAAGCATACATCATTCTGGGGTTTATGTCAGTTTATTCTGTGTGTATCCTTAAAAGCTTAAAGAAAAAATATGAAGTTTGTTAGAGAAAATCGTGTTTAAATATTGCCCACATTTCACTCAAAATTACACGAAAACAGTAATATTTTCTAAACAATGCATGGAATGACATAAGTTAAAGTACTACTTGTTGGGAACAGATTTCATAAGAAGAAATCATCTCATCTTCAATAATGTGGATGCATGAGGGTCAAAAGAATTTCAAACTCTTCAATTTTTGAAAATTCTAATTTAATAGTGAAACTCAGGCCAAAGCTATCATTAGAGGTGCATTTCACTCAATGAAATTTAAAGAAAAGAATTATTGTTATTTTTGAGAAAATTTAGAAAATGCCCTAATGTGTCATGAGATGTATTTACATGAATCTGGGCTTTGAGGTGGGTCAGTTTGATCAGAGAATATTCATTTTAGAAAAAACCTACAAATAGTTAAGGTGCTAGTGTTGTTATGAAGTCAGATGGCCGGACATAAAAAACACTTTATTGGTATCAGGGGAACCTAACATGTGTATTTCCATTAAAATCAATTTCCTGCAGCATTACATAAGTTTTTCTCTCTCTCTCCCCCTGTGCCACTAAATGGATGGAGTCACACTTTGTTCATTCTGAGTTGTTCCACGTGTTCTTCCATGGTGTTTCATTAAGCCTTCAGCCTTTATTCCATTGAAAACAAAGTCATACATTAACAAGTGAAAAAGTCTTACTAAAGGCAAACTTTAATAATGAAGCAGTGCATGGTTGTTTGAATAAATTAATAAATTTTTAAATGTTGTACATATTCCAGTGTTAAAAAAAAGTTTTTCCCAATGAAGGACACTATACATTATTATGCTCCACGATGTATAGACAATGTACTCAACAATTCCTAACCATTAATAGTTTTTAAAAATCTTATTAAGCTTTGTGTCATTAACAGTGAAAGCTTCCAATTGGATAACTTCACTCTCATGCTCACCTTCATTACACACCAAAAACTAAAAATATATAAGTTTTATATCACCATAAGCCTAATGATCTACTATAAAGACCATTTATTTGAGTAAAAATGTAGATAGGAAATCCCTTTAATGAATGAAATTACTTTAAAATTATTCCAGTATTATTTTCAATTCAACAGGACAAAAAGGAGGATGTTTCATGTAAGTTTAAACAAAGAGGGAGGTCAGGAGGACAATTTAAAAAAGGACAGACGGCAACCCTGACATGTTCCTGACTTGTGGCACATCAGTATTCAGATAATCTCATAGTGCTTGCAACTGTAATTCTGATACGAGACTAAGCATGAAATTTCATGGTATTAAAAATTAAGGAAGAGAATATAACATTAATATTAGAAATGGCATTTTTGGAATAGTTTTGCTTTAATTTCATTTGGCCAACAAATTTCAATCTTCAATGTCATATGCGATTAATCTCATTTTAAGAGATCTGTATTAGTCACAATGATGCAAATTATTTCAAGATTAAAACACCCACAAAGAAGCTTCAGGAGAGACAAATGAATGCAATACTGGAAAATTAGAAGAAAAAACATTATTTATAGACATTTTACTGCCAAAATCACTGATTATACACGCAGCAGGGCAGGAATGTACAAAGAGTCTTTATCTCAGCATGGCAGAGGGAAATGTGAAGTATTTCAGAGACCAACTTGTAGTTTATTGCTTGTATTTCTGTTCATAAAGCATTGAACATTTCTTAATATAGCTGCCTCTGAAGCTCATTTAAAAACAATTATTCTCATTCTTGGGGAAACCAAGACCCTGTCCCAAACATAATTTGGAAGAACCACATGGCTCAACACGTCAAGAGGATATCAACATGCCAAATATTAATCTTTCCAATTAATGTCAACAGCATATTATCCATAACATTTTATGTATTTTGTGTCAAAACACTTCACAATAGGAACAGTAATAGTACAATACCGCATATTAAGAGAGGAGGCAGCACATTTCTATTACTCAGGTACAATCTATAGCAAAATGAAAAATATTACAACTGATTTCTATTGTTAATATATTAAATCCTATCATAAAGTGATCACACTCTCACCTAAAATACATTAAAACAATGCACATAAATACTCAAACATGTCTGCGATTATTGAGGGTTTAAGATTTCTGGACAAGTGCAAGAATTATTAAAGTGTATAATTATCATTAGACTACATTAACTTATTTCTAAATATTCACTTCTTACATGATTACTTCTTTCCTTTTACAACAAGAATAATACAATTTTTAAATTCGTTAACCAAGCACTAATCAACTTATTATAAGGTCTTAATTTCTTTACAATTAATATGGGACATAATATTATGCCCCATTCTTTCTTTTGAACAAAATACAAGATGCATTTTATTTCATAAAGTGGAACGATAAATACAATGATAAAAAACAATAAAACCCCAAAACCTTATTTTCTGACAGGTTTTAAGTACCTAAGCAAACAACACATATTTTTCCACAAAACATTGTTTTCTTAAATATATTTCAATGGAAAACAATTCCTTCTTTCACAATTCTTGCTTTTATAGAATTAAGTAGCAAACATTTTGTGTTAAATACTGACTGGTGAAGGGTGATGTTGACCTCATACATAAACAATAAATCATAGGATCACAATTTCTCTAAAAGCAATTTTTAAATTAAGTATTATAATTTTCAATTTTTAAGCAATTATCACTGAATGCTTATACTGAATGGATAAGCAGCATTTAATAGAGACAGTAAGTAGTTCACACCTTTGCAAGAATTATACAAAAAAGGTTTGCTTTTTAAGTTAAGTCACATAGTATGATTAAAATTCATTCCATTTTCTTTTTACGCCTTTGTTGCCCACTTGCTTTCTTAGAAAAATGCAATTACCTTAATTTATTCAATTCTTTCAAAAAACAATGTCAAACACTGGCACTGAAAAGATAACGAAAGGCATTTTGCTGGTTATGTAATAGTTTTTAAAAAATAAGAAAAACAAATATTGTACAATTTGGCAATAGCCTCTCCTACCATACAGAGCAAGTTCACACTAATCATAAAATTAATTAATTAGGATCAGAGAGTTTCAATAAATTCCATGAATTAATGCAGAACAATTGAAAAAAAATCTTAAAGTTTTTAGAGTATAGTAAAGATCTGAAATGTAACAAAAAAAGGTATGCAAGTTTACTGCAACACTTTTTTAAAATGAAATGTATGAGGTTTCTTTCAGTTTCACTCAACCATTATAAAATTGTTACCATGATAACAAAAATATATATATATATATA